TTTGACTTTTTATATTGATTAGCTTGACCTTTTGACCCCTAATGCACAGCCTGTTTGAATCTAAAAACACTTTTCCTAATTTTCCTGTTCATGTTGCAGTTTAAAAATGTCTGATTATAACTTGGTAGCATGAAATGCATCTTCTTGTAAAGATTTTGATCTAGAGTGGAAAAAACGCAGCCGAATTTATTGGCATTAACAAATGACTGTGTTGCATTTATCAAAGCAAATTAACAAAATCTTTTTAATTATTCACAGGAAGGGAATATTTAAATTCAATTAGCAGTTCCTTCTCACTTCCACATGCAACACAAATTATTGTTCTAAATTAACTTTGCTTATTTTGAACCATATTGGTACAAATTACTGTTTACAGGAAGAGATTGACTCATTTCACGTTAGATGATTTAAATTATTACTTTTTTCTGTCGTCTTCTTAATTTTGCCCTGATTAGAATCTTAAAAGTGTAATTTATTTTAATGTCAGTGTTTAATGGTGTACAGATTTCATTAAAAATGTTTATTGTTGAGAAGATAAAACTAAATAAGAGAAAAAAATCACAGCTGGAAACTAGAGATCAGGCTGACCTCTGACCTGTGACCTGAGCCTTCAGAGCCACATAAAGATGGTTCCAAAGTGGGCCTTCTACCAGCTGCATCTCCACCCGGTTCTACGCCACCAGGTTCTACACCATCTAGTTCTACGCCACCTGGTTCTACGCCACCCGGTTCTACACCATCTAGTTCTACGCCACCCGGTTCTACACCATCTAGTTCTACACCACCTAGTTCTACAGTCCTTCACTGAGAGACTTTAAACTGCTGGTAGTTTCTAAATCACTGAATTATAAATTAAAGATCTGCTGCTGTTGGATCAACCTTCCAGGCCTTCCAGGCCTTCCAGGTCTTCCAGACCTTCCAGATCTCTCAAACATGGAGAAGCAGCATTCAGCTTCTATGGACCTTAAATCTGGAACAAACTTCCAGAAAACTGAAAAACTGCTGAAACACTGAGCTCCTCTGACTCCAGAGTAAAATCCCACCTGATTTTAGTTGATTTGAAACATAATTAATGAAACTATGATCAACACTCTGATGTGAAACGATGGCAAAATGTTTCAACACTGCAAAAATACAAAATCTTACCAAGTTAGTTTGATTCAGTTTCAAGTTAGTTTTGTCTCATGTCAAGTGTACTAACTTGTAACTTTATATAAGAGATTGTTTCAAGTCAGTAATTCCTTAAAATTGATGAAAAGTTCCTGGTCCACTGGCAAATTATTTCATTTATAATGTGAAAAATGTTTTGTTATAAATGAAATAATCTGACAATAAAACCTTTTCTGCAATAAGGAAGTATTGACTTGAAACATCTTGCTGAAAAGTTGTTTGTAAGTTAGTTTTATCTTATTTCAGGTGACTAGAAACTAGACCTGGTAAGATTTTGTGTTTGTATGATGTAAAGCACTTTGAACTGTCTTGTTGCTGCACAAATAAACTTGACAAACTTTTGCCTCAGTCCTTGAAAGGCAGGCAGTGACTTTTTATTAAGTACGTAAGTCTTAGGAGAATCCGCCCCCTCAGTCCTGATGTCCTGTTGTGCATTTTGAGCTTTCTATCCGTCGGTAAGCTGCATCTCTGCAGCTGATCTTTGTCGCTGCACCAGCTGTGCTTGCTGGAAGGCCTTTGAAAGCCCAACCAGAGAAGTTTGTGTCAAATAGAGGGCACACCAGGCCCTCTGAGAGCCTCTCTGCTTCTGGTTTCCACTTTAACACGGCAGCTGTTGGGGTGGCATCATGTGTGGCTGAAGTATTGGTTATGACTTGTTACCAACAGATGTTCATAAGGAAAATAAACGACAGAAGGGAAGGCTTGACATTTTTGGAGGCAGTCAGCTGAGGCAGGAATAAACTCAGGCATTAGCTTCATAAAGACAGGAATATTAGGAGCAGCCAGTTAAAATGGCAGCCAGTAAACGCGCTCAGACAGAGGGTTCAAAACTGAGGCCGTTGCATCTTATTGCTTATTAGCGCTGCCATGTGTTGGTGCTGCAGATGCTCATGCAGCCAGATACGTTTGTAAAAATGAGGAAAATGTTTAATCTGGGCTGAAGAATATGTGTTATCTGCCTTAATGGTTGAAGGATCTAGCATCTTATGTTAGCATTTTTAGCTGTAAACTTTAGAACTTTAGCTTAAATCAGAGATCTTCAGATATTCGTCTCGGGTCCAGGGGGTTGATTTCATGACAAACTCAGGTTCCCTGAATTTATTCAAACAAAAGAGGAAATCGGGTGGTTAACATCAGTCCAGCAGCTTTTCCCCCGACATATGAAATAAAAAACAATAAAGAACGCTAAATAAAACACAAATCAATAGCTTCCAATGAGCAGTTAGCAGCAGTTAGCAGTAAATTAAACGTAGCTAAAAGGCACGACAGTAATATTGTTCAAATTTAGCTACAAATATACAAAAAATAGGTAACTTTCCTCCAGAAGGGCTAAAAATGACATGCTGGCCAGAAAATATAATATTTTTAATTAAAACTCTTCCTGAGATGATATTTTATTTACCCAGCAATGCAATAGTTTAATAAATTAGTCAGATTTTTATTCTAAAGAGATGCGTAAACCATTATGGAGCCAAAACGTTTGGCAGGTTTTCCTCATTAGAGAACCCAAAAATTGTATTCAAGTAACAGTAACACTGAAAAATACTTTTACTCAAGTAAAAGTAAAAAGTTGCCATTCAGAAAATAGTTTGATCGATTCAGGCATTGAGTAACATAAATGATTAAAGTGGGAATTTGGCATTTTAAGGACCACAATAAAAATTACAAAATAACAAAATCAGACAAAATAAAAATGTTTCCAAATGAGTTTCTTTAAATAAAAAAACTTCAGAAACTTGAACAAAAACTGGAGGTGAGTCTGGTGAATATTTGATTAAAACTACATTTAATTCAATACATTTTTACTGACAAAATGTACATTTAGGAGTATTTTTACTAAGCTGTACTTTTTACTTCTACCTGAGTAATTTTATCATAATGTATTTCTGCTCTTACTTCAGTAAAATTTCTGGATTTTCTTCCCACTGAATGAAAATCAAACATGTTTTAACCAGACAGACTCAAACCTGCAGCTTCTGTTAAAGTTTCATCAGGTTTTTATTGAAAGGACCTGATCTGGAAACATTTAATGTTTTTGGGTTCTCTGCTCTCTGGGCGTTTTTATTTACTGTTATTAGCTGTGCAGTGATTTTCATTTCACTTCACGGTTCTCACTACGTGGGGAAGCAGAAACATGCTGGATGTGAAAAAGAACAAGAGGTATGAATCGTTTGTGACACTCTGCATGTGGTCACACAGGATACTCTTGATTGTTGAAATTATATTCTGAAAATAACAGACTTCAGCTCAGTATGTGACGCTGAAGCAAAAATAAAATCTGCAATGTTCCTCAGCAGCTGCTGAGCAGTCAGGCAGTTTGTCTTTTCACTAAACCTCCAACACGGATGAGTGAACCAAATGTAAGTAGAGTGTAAATTAGATCTTTAAGAATAAAAAAAACATGTAGCAAGAAAAATGGAGAGAAAAACAGAGGCGGATTTTAAAGCACCTATAAAGATGAAACGGGAACGATGAGGCAGAGATACGGGCTGAACGACGCTCAGGAGGGAAGGAAAAACTGAACACTACTGGATGAAATTGAAGTGTGTGTGTGTGCGTGCGTGCGTGTGTGTGTGTGCGTGTGTGTGTGTGCGTGCGTGCGTGCGCGCGTGCGTGTGTGTGTGTGTGTGTGACTGCCTTTTCTTTTCTACCCATATCTCTGCATCCACTTTGAGAACTTTGGTTTGACTTTTTTCAAGTTGGGAAGTTTACCTTCTATTTGGTGCGACTGGGTTTTAAACTACATGTGACAAACCTTTGGGTGTTCTGCAACACACAGTTCCCACAGGTCTGAACAGGAAGTGACCCGCGCCATCTTGGTAGGCAAACGCAGCGCAATGAATAGATGAACCATGGCTTTGAGGCCAACAAAAAAAAAATATGTGGACACTCTTAACCGATGTGTGAGAGAAAGATAAATGAACAACATGGCTGCTGTTGAGACAGAGAATGGAGACATGTCAGACTAACTGCCCCCAGGCTCATATTGTGATGTAGTTCATGACCCAGTGAACAGGTGGAGCGTTTTCAGCATGGAGGAGCTTCAAACCATCAGGGTTTGGACAGATTTGTAAATTACGTACAAACTCTGTGTGAGAAACAAGGTGGTGACTGGCAGAGTGAGAACATGTAGTAACAAACACATAGGCTACATGTCCATCTTAGCTAGCAGGTAAAAGCTACTTCTGCTAAGCTAATTTTGGTAGCTCAGCAAGAAGTACTACAGTAGCATAACACAGGTGGGTAGAGTACTCAAGTAGTTCTAACACTTATATTGTTTAAGTTAGACATGCGAGAGCTAGTTCTAAGCTTGTGGCTTGTTTATTGTTGTCATAGCAACTGCCTACCAATATGGCTGCCAGTTACAAAGTTTACGGAAGTGTGATGTCACATGGGAGCTACGTATAGTTTGCCTGAGTTTTGCCTAATTCCTCCTGACAGAACTGTAACTGGTTTAGGTTTGTATGCCGTCTTGCTTCACACACATGTTTAACTCCGCCCACCGACGGTCAGGGTTTTATGATGGCATCTCCAACAAAGCTCTTGTCTTTTCCAGCAGCCATTGTACAGCGGGAAAACCGGCTGAGGGTTGCTAGGTAACGGACTGAGCTCTGTTGGGGTTGCTAGGTAACGGATTTGGCTTTGCTGGGGTTATATTTTCCAGAAACCAAAAAAACATACATTTATTGCCATTAACTTATTATTTTTTTAAAGTCTTGGGCTGTTTTTGTTTTTGCAGTAGAGACTCAGACTAAAGTACAAAACATGCAGAATGTGAGTTTTGCATAATAGGTTCCCTTAAATCGGGAAAGGAAGGTCGACCACCTGCTACATGACTTCAGGTTTTAATGCACAGGACAAGCTTTTATTGTCTTCTGTCATCCTCCTCCATGCTTTTGTGTTGTTTCCATTATTCCCTCCTCCTGATGCCTCACATTGATTTATCCTTTTCTTTTTCTTCTGCTCACCTTCCTCCAGTTCCCAGGTCCTTCAGGCCTCTACGTAATTTGAACCTCCTTCTGACTTTCTCCTTTCATCTTCTGCAGAGACAGAAAAGGCTGAGAAGAGGAAGGAAGTGAGGACAGAAAATGAAGCTTTTTAAGCTATAAAATAATAACAGACAGGCAGGAATTTGTTCTGTTCCCACTGCTATTAAGAACAAAACATTTATTAAGTTTTCATACGTGTATTAGTAGCTGCTATTAGTCCTTCCCACTCTGCCCACCGTGACTTAAAATATTCAGAGCGTCTCCGCTGCTATAATCCCTTTAATCCTGTAGTTTTAATTCATCTGCTTTGTTTGTTTTTTTTGAGCTCTCACTTCTGGTTAAATACTTCAGGAGGAGACGTCGGCGCAGACTCAGCAGGATCGTATGGAAGGATCTACATCCAGAAATCTGTTTCTGCAGCAGCTTGTTGAGATGAATGTTTACCTCAGGAACAGAGGTGCCTTTTCGCTCCATAATCATAATTTTTCTAACAGTTTGTAATGACTTTCCAGAAATGATTTCAACACTGAAACCGTGAGAACCACCAACGTAAAATAACGCACGTTCTGGACTTAAAATCTGTTGAAGAAAGACTTTTAAATATGGTTTTTCTTCAATGCATGTAGATTTACTCAAAAACAAAACCTGCCGTCTCAGTAAGTCTGGTTTTTAGGCCAATAAATCAATCACAAAACCTTCCTTAAAGTCAGACTTGAAAGAAGTAGCAGATATGTGTTTGATGGATCCTGGTTATTTCATTCAGCTTCTGTTAAACAATAGGAGTAGTTTCTAAAAACATCGTCACTGTCCTAAAATAAAGGCCCAAGTTGTTCTTTGCTAAAAGTGATTTTGGTGAAAACGAATCTTCTCTTCTTTCTTCACAAAATATGTTTTAGGCCAAAAAAGAGAGAGACTTGTGCAGAACATAAATAATCAAATACAAACACAAATATCTTTATATAAATGGGACCTGATATTTAGTTTCATTTAATTTGCCACTCTTCTACCGTAAAGATCATAATTCACACAGGAGTGACGGCTTTATAATATCTGTTTCAGACACCAATTAATTAACTGGCCTGCCACCTTAAAGTCATGAAAATTGATCCAGTATCTGATCCACAAGTCATAATAACAAGCAGAAAACAATAAATCCACTTTCTGCCTCGCTGTAGAAATGTAGTTATGCCTCCATTAATTAGCTCTGGAATGAGCCAGCCTCGTTATGCCAGCTGCTTCTGTCTTGACAAAGTACTCGATATTTCCTGACCCTTTCCTTCGGAGAGTGAAACATGCCCCCGTGCGTTTCAGATTTACGGCCAGTCTGATACTTTGGGGTCACGTGGTGAAACCCTGCAGCTGTGATAAATGGCCGACTTTCAGCATCCTGGAGTTTGGAAAAAGGCAAGAAGAAATCACGGGTGGGAAATGACGCTCGGGAGACGAGTTTCATTTGTTTCACTTGGGAGAGCCGAAAGGCAAAATCTGGTTTGTACTTCAGAAACACTTGAATGCCACAAAGAAAAGGCAAAGAATGAGACCTTTAATGCATCAGATTGGAAAAAGGACATGATTGAGCACAAACTCAACATAGGAAACAGAAAAACAAGGAAGGAGTTACAGAAAGATCAAGCCAGGGCTGGTAAAAGTTTTGGAATTTGAACTTTTCCATATTTTCTCACATCAAACCACAAACATAAATATACTTCATTAGAATTTAATGTGAAAAAACAACACAAAGTGGGACACGATTGTGAAAAGGAAGAAAATTAAAAACATTTTAGTGTGGTGTGCAACATTATCCAGCCCCCCTGAGTCAATACTTTGTGTTTGCTGTTTTCCAGCTGCTAGTCTTTAGGGTTTGATCATCTAGTGACTGAAGTTTTTGCTTCTTTGCCAAACATCTCAAGCTCAATCAGATTCAATACAGAGCATTTGTGAACAGCAGATTCTCTATTGAGTCTGGACTTTGACTAGACCATTCTAACAGTTGAATATGTTATATTTTACCCCATCGTTGCCCTGGCTTTGTGCTTCGGGTCGTCGTCCTGCTGGAAGCCTCTAATCTTTAGACTGCAGCAGGTTTTCTTCTAATATTGCTCCTTTTCTGGCTCCATCCGTCTCCATATCACCTCTTCCTGCTGAAGAGAAGAGCCGCATGGGAACAATATCAGAAGTGAAATGATCTGGAAAAATAACTTTTTCGTCAATATTAAGGAAGTACTGAAGTAAAACAAGCTCCTGTTTGTTGCTGAAAAGTTACTTGTGAGTTAGTTTAGTTTTATTTCAAGAGTAAAACATTTTCATTGGAAACTAGATCAAAGATACTTGGTTTGTTTTTTGTATAATTTTCTTTCTTCTTCACAGTTTACTTTGTGTTGGTCTTCCACATTAAATTCCAATGGAGCATATTTGATTTTGTTACTATAATGTGGCAAAATATGGACAAGTTTAAGGGGTGTGAATACTTTTGCACGTCACTGGATATCAGACCAGGTGTTTGCTTACCTGTCCCTTTTCGCTTTACTCCTAACTTAAGGAAGTCGTTTGTGTTTCCCTCTTTTTCTCCTCCCATGTTTGGAAAGGAAAATCCTAGAATTGGTTTTCTAAGTGACATTTCCACTGCAGCTCTGACATGAGATTAAGTTAATCTGTGTCACAGTGAGGCTGCTGCAGTGTGACAGCACGGTTTTGTTGTAAACAGCATTACAAGTCGCTCCTCAGCCCTTCGGAGCGCCATGGCTGTGAGGGTAAGACCTGCTTTTATTTATTTTTATTTTTGGGAGCATCACTGCCACAGGTGATTATGTAAAAACCTCCACAGCTGTGAGCAGATGGAGTTCAGCCACATGAACAGCAAAGCAGTACATGACTGCAACATAACCTTCACAGATTTATTCATATAAATATTTAGAACATTTTCCAAGCCGTTTCTGTTACCGGTCTTTATTATTCATTAATGTTAAGAGCAGAGTCAATTTAATGATGCATCTCATATTTTAATGTGATAGTTTATTATTTGCTGTTCAAGTCATTTTAAATCAGGAAATCTGTTTTTGTTTCACATTTTCAAAACCTACACTGTAAAAACACAAAATCTTACCAAGTATTTTGGTCTAGTTTCTAGTGCAAATATGTTAGTTGACCTGCATAAGATAAAACTGACTTATAAGTAACTTTTCAACAAGAAATATGAGGCTTTTTTAAAGTCAATAATGACTTATTGTTGAGAAATTAGAACTACTTCCATTAGCAGATAATTTCACTTATAACAAAACATTTTTCTATCAGTGATAGAAACTATTTAATCAATATTAAGGAATAATTTACTTTAAGTCAAACTCGTATATGTTGCTGAAGAGTTACCTCTAAATCAATTTTATCTTATTACAAGTTTACAAAGATATTAGGACTAGAACTAGAGAAAAATTAATTTGTGTTTTTACAGTGCATCAGAAATTCTGGTTTGCTGTATGTTTAAACTTTAAAAAATCACAGTCAGATAGGACAATGAATCACTATGGATAGACACATGATCAATATATAATACGTATGATTACACATTCAATAATTTCATTGAACTCTGATCCAGAACCGCACAGCATTCTGGGAGATGTAGGCAGGGAAACTCTGTAACCGCTGAGCTAGCTAAGCTAGATTAGTTCAATACTTATTCACTCTTTGGTTGCCTAGCAACAGCCTGCTGGGGAGGAAGCAGTTTCAAACTCCACCCAACTTCGGTTGCCTAGCAACGACCTTCTGAGTAACTTGAGGTTTCACCCCTGTGCCTCATAACTGATTAAAAAAGCTAATCAATAATTATCGATATCGACTGGTATCGCTTATATAATGATACGTTTTCCAGCTATTGTTCCACTTTACTTTCAAAACATTTATACTGAGTCAGTTTGTTTTTAAAGGATCTTCCTAGTTTTTAACGTACATTAAGAAATATCAAATTAAGTTTCAGTTTCACTTTATTTTGGTAAATTATTAACATTACACACAGGAGACAAAAACAAAATACTGATTTACAAATTCATAATTTACCAAAGAAAGGAACAGGCTGAAGCCAAGGCGTGTAATTAATGTGTAAAACCAAATTCCTGTCTGTGAAATATGATGAACAGCAGCATCTTTCTGTTAATGTGTTTATTCCTGGCAGCTCCCACGAGTAACGTTGGCTCAAAGCGGTGGATGAAGTTGCCTCGTTCTCTTCCTTTAGCCGTGCTCCCCGGCTGCGGCCTACTTTGATGTCCCTACGTTAAATATTGAATGTACATCCATATTTCACTGGCTGATCCCTGCTGCCAGACTGAGGGGCAGGATAATAAACATTGCCAGTGAATTTCACTTCTCTAATTGCTCGGAGTTAATCTCCATTTCTCTGCACAGCGCCTTGACCTCGAGTAATGGAGCTGCCACAATCCCACGGTAAATATAAATAGGGGCAAGGTGGGAAAAATGATGTTCACTGGAAAATATTTTAGCTAGTTTGTATCGCGTTTAAAAGCTCCATCAGGAGAATGATACCTTACTGTTAGATAGTAAAATATAAACACAGAAACTTTCATTTAAAAAAACAGCTACAGCAAAGAATAAAGCTTTAAACGCCATAAAGTGAAACGGACGTCTCGCTAATGCTACGTATTAGCATTATAGATTTGGCTCCAGATGAGCGAGTGATAGATAAGATAATTTCCTTTACCACATTTTCAGCAACAAGGCAATTCAGAGTGCTTTACATGAATTTCAAGGAAATAAAACAAAACAATAACCATGTTCTTCTCAAGCAGTTAAGTTTGTAGCTTTCCATAAGCACTGCCCTGTTTTTACATGTTGCTTCAATATTTACACTTAATGTTCTTTCCTCATGCTGATTTATGAAGCGCACCAGTCCCTCCTGCAGCAACAAAACATAACGCTAATGGTTACAGTGGTTTTCTTCCACTTTTTATCTCTAAATGTTATTATGGTGAAAAACTTTTGTTTTTACAACAATCCCAGCAAAAAATGAAACACAAAAATTAACACAGACTATAATCCAACATGGTGGCTGGACAAGACATAGATGGGAGCATATTTACTGAATTCATTCTTAATTCTTAAAGGCATATTAATGTCACTTTATGGAAACTAAACTTCTCTAAAAACTCTTGCATTATTCTGATATTAATTAGAAATAATCTGAAGTAAAGTAAGGAATTAAATTAAGAATTCACATTTTGCACATTTTTGTGCTTTCATTTGGGTCGTTACTGCTTCAAAAAGAAAAAAACAGAACAAAACAAAAAAAAACAGCCGAAGCACGTAAAAAAAAACATTCAGTCGTTTTTTTGAAGATAAATTCATGTTTTTTAGGGTCTGAATGTAAGTGTCAAATCAGCAGGGACTGCCCCGTTACCTAGCAACCACAGCTGAGCCCAGCCCATTACCTAGCAACCACAGCTGAGCTCCACCTTCTGTGGTCGGCTGGTTTTTCTGCTGTACAATGGCTGCTGGAAAAGACAAGTTTTGTTGTTGACTTGCTGCTTTCTGGTTGGTTGAACAGGAGGCTCTACTTCTGCTTTTCAAAGATGTACAGTTGTGTATTTGCACATCTGTTTGCAGCTATTTTCATGTGTGATTGTAGTATTGAGTTGGGGGCGTGGCCAGCTACAGATTATTTGGATTTAAAGTGACAGAGACCCTAAAACGGCTCACTGAGCAGACTTACATCTCATCATCTAAGAGCGATTTTGTGTAAGAAATGTAATGAACTTGTTTTGTATAGACCATAGAGTGATCCTAACCTGTTTAAGAAAAGTGAAACAGAATAATTTTTATTTCTTTCCACTTTCCAAATAAGGTGGAGAATATGTAAAACCCTCAGGAGACGACTGCAGATATTTGTCTCATTTCATTTCACGCCAGAAGCAAAGCTTTTTATTTAAACACCTCAGAGAGCCTGTGATGTTTAATGCATCAGAAAAAATACATAATGAGCTGTGTGACACATTCAAATGCCTATCAGGAAATACTTTAACTACGACACTGCAAGACGTTTTTCTACACTAGTGACCCATAAAAATCACAAAAGCATCTGAAGTTCAAGAGTTGCTTTATCATTACAGGGACATTTAAGTTTAGGACTTGAGTTAAAAATGACTCTGTTCTGGATTATTACCATAATACAAAGTAATTTTTCTTCAAAGCACGTCAACTTTGCTGTTTCAATTTGCTTTAAAGTACAAGTTTTAATTTTTTAAGTACAGTTCCTTCCTTTCTGGAGTGGCAGCATTTGACTGCGGTTTCTCTGGGATCTCATCATCTTTATTCATCTAAAAGCTTTAATGATTTAAAAATGATGACGAATAATATTCCTTTGAATAATAATAACTATGCTCCCCGCATGCTGCTTCACTCAGTTTAAAAAAAGATGAGGAAAGACTTAATGTACTGTCCGGTAAAATCATGTTTGAACTTATTAGATTAATTACTGACACATTTAGGATGAGCTCCGCCTGACAGACGAAGGAGGATGAATATTCAGCTTTTTTCTGGTGCAGAAATATCCTCATGGTGGCTCCATGTTTAACTCATGAGCGAGGAGGAGACATTTGAGTGAGTTTTGCTTTTGGAGGTCTCTGTCGCTCATTCACAGGTTAGTACTGATGCCCTTCAAAAGCTTTCGAACAGGAAATATGGGAAGCACCAGGAAGGATGGCTGTAAATCTGATTTTAGAAGCTGAATGAAAATCAGATTTTGGTCCTGACTTTCTCCAGAACAGAGAATATCATAAATCTGACATTTATCATAAAATAGCAGCATCTCATGATCTATAATTACAATGTGATTTTGTAGCACTTCACTGTAAAAACTCAAAAGTATTTTTGGTTTATTTTCTAGTGGAAATCTCATAGAACACTTGAAATAAGGCAGAAGTTATTTACAAGTATCTCTTCAGCAAGATGTGAGCTTGTTTTGAGTCAATTTGTTTTAAATGTACTGGTGCTACTTTCAAACTGTTTTTATTTATAACGTGAAAAATGTCTTGCTATAAACTGCCTGCGGAACTAGAAGTTTTTCATCAAAATGTAAGAATATAACAATAAGCTAAATACGTCACACATTACGGGCACCGATAAGAGGAACCGTTCATCGGTTCCATCCCTCCTCCATGGTTCCTCTGGGTGATTCTTCCCGTTTTCAGATGATCGGCTCATGTAAAGCTTTGTGGCTGAACTCCTGCCAGGCTCCTGCAGGCTGCGGCCCGCAGTGGTTTCCAGCTCTATCAGAGTTGTGCACAGCTTTCAGTAAACAGAGGTGGATGCAGGCATGAGTGGCCGGTCCAAAAGTTCCTATGGTGTCATACAGGAGCCTCCTCCCAACAAGGATGAGGGAGACATTCTGCACTACAACAGAAAAAATAAAGAGATTCTGACTTTCAAGAAGAAAGAAGTTATATTTTCTTTACCTCAAGGCTGAACCTCTGATCAGTTTTTTCTCATACCCACCCCGAAGCCAGAATTTTGTTTTCTGACAGATTTCTTTGTCTAACATCCTTTACTGTGATTTTGTCATCTTGAGACAACCTTTGTTTGATCTCTCTGGGGATGAGAAAGTATAATAAAGAAGCTTAGAACAGAAGCAGAATAATAATTCAAGAGATTTTAAAGATACTTTCAACTTGATGAGCCTCCAGAGAACACAGGAAATTAACATTTAAGGTGCTAAGTTAGCTAATCTTACATTAATCATGCATTTTGTAATGATGTGGCCTTTTTCTACCAAAAGAGTCATTAGCTGTTGAGGAATGGACTTCACCAGATCCCTGAAGGAGTGTTGTGGTATTGAGCTTCAGGTGAAGCCTCCATATTGGTCCACAAATCCCTGATTGTATTAATATGTGGGGAATTTTTGATCAAATAAACGCTGAAAAACCATTAAAGACCCAGTTTTCTGTTTTAAACCACAGCTGTCAATGAATATTGTTTCCAGGAATCGTTGCACCTGGTATAAAAATGTTTTGGTAGATTTTATGTGTTAAATTAAAATTCACATTGATGACAGAAGTTTTCTTAGCAGTGAAACATCCTCTGCTAGCTTAGCTTTCTTAGGGTTGGGCATCTCTGGTCATGATGTGTATCTTCATACACAACTGAGGATAAAGACCCTTTGCATGTTATTGTTGACATCTGGAAACGTTAACAACATGCGCTAACATGTGTTGCGCTAACGTGTTGTGTTAACATGTGTTGCGCTAACATGTGTTGTGCTATCACGTGTTGTGCTAACATGTGTTGTGCTATCACGTGTTGTGCTATCACGTGTTGTGCTATCACGTGTTGTGCTAACATGTGTTGTGCTAACATGTGTTGTGCTAACATGTGTTGTGCTATCACGTGTTGTGCTATCACGTGTTGTGCTATCACGTGTTGTGCTAACACATTAAGAAGACGATTCTTTTCTTCTCCGTCCGTAGCGGCGCTGCCGCAGTTGAACCGTTATCTAAATGAAACCTGGAGACGAAGCTGCAAAGGGAAAAATAACGTAGAAAAACTGTTAAAGAAAAACTCAGAACCACTTTTTCTTTCCCTTTCTATGACTTGTTGCCATAGCAACTGACAACAACGCCACACCAATAAACACCCAAACATTTTCCTCACAAAGAGCAGAACATGCAGTCGGTTTTATGTTTTCAGGCTTGATGTTTATTTTGTGATTATTAATAATTGATCGCTGTGATAGATTAGCTAGCCCTGCTAAGCTAACACACAGTGGTGATTAGCTAATTTAAACACCTGCTCTCCTGATGATCTGTCAGAGTTGGAGTTTCTGTTGTTGTGCTCATGTTATCACAAAGAAACATAAAGCTGTGTGTCATCATCATATCTTGTATGAAATGTTGCAGTACTGCATCTAAATTATTAATAAAACTGGTCCTAGAGTGAAGCCTTGAGGAACCCCACATGTGACTGCCAAAAGCACAAACGGCTCCAGATCTAACAAATAAGATCTGAGCCAAAGTATCCCATTAACAGACAATAATACCAACTTTTTTAGCCTATAAACATGTTTTGATTGATAGACTAGAAGGTCTATCAATCTTAATGACATTATTGCCTTTAAATGTTTTCTTAGTGAGCAGCAGAGAAATTGATCTTCAGTCTGGACATTCTCCTTGTGATGGAGGCTCATGAGGAGATCCTTTGACAAACTGGCTGTGATCTTGTTTTAGACAATCCAGCAATTTTTAGGTTGTTTTCTGAGGTTGCACACTTTTTATTACTTTTTAGCACTTAAACTGAAATCAAAGTCTCAATCATTTTCATTTTCTACCACATGTGACCAGACTTTTGAAACTGACATCTAATTTGTTGCTCACAGCTACATAGCCTTTTTCTCTTTTCCTGTTTTTCATTCCTGTCACAACCCTTCCTTTTCTAAGAGATCCAGTTCAGTGAAAATAAGAGAATAAAAGAGGATGATGCCTTTTATTGTCAAAGTGCCCCTCTGGTTAGTTCTGCATCGGGGTCCCTTTCTGTCATTGCTGCTTCTTTGGGATTTAGCTGAACTGAGGCCAGTTTACAGCTGACAGTTGCTTCGCTGCAGACACCTCCAGCTGGATGGATTTGTGCGGCTTAGACTCTAAGTTAGTTAAATGAAGCCTTGAAGGAGAGTGAATGAGATTCCCAGCAGCACTCGAAACAAAGCAAACAGAGAAAACTTGCCTTTCATTCAGAGAGTAAAACCCAATAGATTCTTTCTGCTGTCACCTTTTGAGAGGCTGATTCTGCAGCAGAGACACCAGTTCAGCTGGCAGATAAAACAATAACGTTTGCTATCGCAACGATGGCATACTAGCGCCACCGTAGATGGAAAAAAGAGCTAATTTCTGCTGAAAAACTCAGAAATTCAGATTAATCTCAGAAATTTTCAACTTTTCAAACTTAGAAAATTTACAAAAGTCAAATATTTTTGACATTATAAACTCAAAATGTAAAAGTTTTTTCTTGAAAATTGTAAAATTTTCCAACGATAACGATAGCTGTGGTAGTGGACATGTTTGACAAAAAGGAGTAAATTTCCACTAAACTGTGTGATTAATTTCAGAAATTTTCTAGAAAAAAAACTTTTCAACTTTTCAAACTCAACAATAAATATCTACAATCTGAACTGATGTGAGTAACAACAACATCTGATTTCCCTTTGGGATCAATAAGGTATTTTTGAATTTTAATTTAATTCAAAAAGCTAAGAAAGGTTGGTGGAATCAACTCACTCACTCTTTGGTTACCTAGCAACAACTTGTTTTGTAACATGAGCTGTAGCAGTTTCAGGTTCCCAGCGTCTCGGTGGCTCTTCACTCCTCGGTGAGCCACGCTACTCGACGTTCGGCAGGAAACTGCGATCAGATCAAACTGGAAGCAGTTTCATGTTTTTCCTCATAACTACTGAAAAATATATATATATATAAAAAAAAAACAAGGTGGATTGAAAGGAGAACATGAGAAACGCCTGAAGAAGATAAAAGAGGAAAGATCACAACACTAGTTTGGCAGCATCTTGCATATTTAAAACAAAAACTAGTGAATAGTTATTGATTGCAATAAGCAGCTGAGTTTCCACCAGTCGGGTTGGTTTTCATGGAGAAGGAGGACGGACTGATGAGCAGAGCGCTTTCTGCTTGTGTTTCCTAAATGTCTGCAGTGGCGGTAAACAGAGCAGCTGTGTGCGGAGCCCCACATCTCCAGGCGTCTCCTGTGAGACGGCTCCTTCAGCTTCTGTTTTCCTTAAAACCGACTCATATGTTTCTGAGCTCCCCGACCGAGCTGCGCGCCGGTGAAACCTCAGACAGCAAAATCAGGTTAATAAAGATTTAAATGTTGTCAGGCAGAAAATTGAATCTGGAGATGCCTGACGTTGCCTCCAAATGGAAACACTGGAATAAAGTCAGATTGTCTGATGGAAAATCAATAATTGAAACATCTTAAAGTCTGTCAGTGCACAGCATTCACATATTAATTACATTTTACCAAGTTTACTCATGATTAATTGTTGATTCAGTTACATGTTGTAAGTGATTATTGGTATTAAACCTCAACAAAGCCTGGCGTACACCGACTGCTGAAGAAACGGCACAGAATATTTGGATCTGGTGATTAGTATGCTTTGTTATTTTTTGGAATAAAGTAACAAAGATGCAGGGTGTTAAAGATTAGCAGAGGTTTTTCTGTCTTACTTTTAGGAAATACCTTGTTCATGCCTAAAGGACTACCAGTTTAATTTTTGCATACTTAATGAGGAGGTCATTTGCTTTTTAGCTATTTTTTAGTTCTCTCAAAGTATTTATGATGTTTACATAAATATTAGGAATGCATTGATCCACATTTTTCACCGATGCCGATATCTGGGGTTTAGTATCGGCCGATAACGATCTAATACCGCAAAACAGCTAATTCACTTAAAACGTTTCATTTTTAAAACACAGACAAATTACAGCTTCACAAGTTCAATCAAACATGTAAAACAACTTCAATCTGTTCAGTCAGAGCAGTTAGGGCCAGAACAGCCAAAGTGAAATAAATAATAATGACCCTGAAACTGACAGAAGCTAAAGGCTGACCATCCTGTAAAAAATAAACTGCAACAAACTTTCATTCCAATGGTTCAGAAATCTAAATATAATGTAAAGTAAATCACATCGGGACCGATAATATCAGATCAGTGCATCGCTGATTAATATTGTCCTAAAGATTTTGTCACGTTTTGAAGGAAAGCGATAAAATGTCCTCCCATCACCTGGACCACAGGGTAACTTTTTCTCCCTCTTCCTCCTGAGACGTTTCTGAGGAAATGCATTTCCACTGATAGTCCTGATGCCGTTTGTGATAATGTTGATGTAACAACTGCATGTGAATCACTTCCTCATCATGCCATGTTGCTAAATCAGCTGTCACTCAGCCTCACTTTGCAACTCCAGACATAACTGTCACTTTATTGAGGTGATTTATACAGACAAAGAGGCCCTTACAGTTGCCTCCTGGCTGGAATAAATCTGGTAATTTTACACACATACACACACCAGTTCCACACAGTCTCACCTCTAATTTCCCATTATCATCCTGCAGTTTGGCTGAATTATTCATGGGATGGCCTTGCTGTAGGGAGAAAGTGAATAGATGGGGATAGCTGAAAAAATGGAAATTAAGTGAAGAGGTAAGAGAAGAAAAATGCAGAGTGAATTAAAGGTGATAAAAACTGGAAAAATAAAGACTTGTTGAACCTTTTTGAGAAAAATACAGCAGCGGAAAGACAGAGCAAACGGCCAGAGTGAAGTTTTCCTGCCACCTTCTTCAAATCTGACGAGATTAGTATCAAACGTTGAGGGATTTCTGTTTGTGCCGCAGTCATTTTGAAGATGTTAGTAAATGTTTCCAGAGGTCATGAAAGGTCAACCAGCCACACAACTTCTTCAAATCAGGCTAAATTGGTGTCAATCAACTAAGAATGTTTGCGCGGCAAAAAATTTCCTTTGTGCTGCTTTTCCTTTGAAGATGTTAACAAAAAAGGTCAAAAGGTCAACCAGCTCCTCCCACCCCAAGCTTTACTCAGATCTAACAAAATTGGTGTCAACGTTGGCTGACCTCTGATGACCTCTGGAGACCTTGTTATTAAGATCTTTCCAATGATAGCAGCACCAACAATAATTTTTGCTGCACAAACATTTGACATTAGATTGTGGTGATGCGAATGGCGGGGCTGCTTGGCCGTTTGACTTTTAAACTTTTGTTAATATCTTCAAAGCAAAAGCAGCACAAACAAAAATGATGCTGCACAAACGTTGCACCAACATTTGACCCCAGTTTCGTCTAATGTGAAGAAGACGAGGGGATCAACTTCACTCAGGTAGACAAAGGTGGGCTGTAGATCATGGCTGGGACATAAAAAGAGACAAACATTTTACTGAGAAGACCAAAGATGGATAAATACAGCAGTCATGTTTGGAAATCCATAAATTGTTCCAAATTAGTGGAGCTTTCATTCAGCATATGCCCGCTTACAGAGAAGAAGAAGCCTGGTGGGTGGAGAGCAGCGATTCAGAGATTTATATCTGCTTCTTCTCCACCTGTCCCACCTGATTCTCTCCACCAACTGAGAGCA